AAAGGAGATAAATAAGTAGATAATTTTATTTAAAGCAAATACTATATGCTGCCTCTTGAGCTTTTCTGGCTGTAGCTATATTTTCTGAAGTGGTTATTCCCTATGGCATACAAATGTAGCAAGCCCATGGCTAGCAGAAGCCAAAATCCTGACATTTTCTACCCTGCTGTGCCCCTGCCAGCAAAAGGCCATGTCCCAGCCTGTGAATATAGCCCAACACTCATTTCTGCTCCAGATCCCCTCTCCACTCCCCCTGAGGCACAGGGATTGGGGACAACCACGCACCCACCTGAGCATAGCCCTCTGCATGGGCTGCAGAGCAAAACTCTTTTTTCCTCCTATAACAAACGATGTTTTTTCCTACCCACAGACCAGTTTCTGCCCAAACACGGGAGGCAGGGATGGTGGAACCCAGGTAGGGCTCAGCCTCCTCCAAAGTTTCGGGATCTCTGCCCAACCTCTCACTCTGCCATGCCAAGTGCCCAAAACAACCCCGCCTAAGAGCCATTTTATATCTCCGGGAATACCACAGGCCCAAACGAGGATTATACGACACTGTGAAAAAGGACAAAACCATGTGAATAGCCCTATTCTGCACATATCCTTTACACTCCTCGGCCATTATGCCTCTCCAGCTTCCCCAGGCCATCCCAGCCAGCAGGACTGCCAGTGACTTTTCCCCTCTCCGAGGCTCCCAGCTGTCCCAGTTCAGGCTACCTCACCCAGCATGCACAGGAACAGATCCTCAACATGTGGGCTGGGTCTCCCTCGAAAGGAACTTCACATATTGCCTTCAATCATTTGGAAGTCCAGCTTCAGCAATTTCAAAGCTGCCACTATTGAGCAAGTTGCCAAAACAAAATCATTCAACTAAACTATTTTTTTTTACCCAGTCCTTTTTATTAAGGTTTCTTATCGCACAAACATTTGAAGTGGAGAAACATAACCAAAGTGTTAGCTAAAAGAAAACCTAAGCAGCACACAACCTTCTTTACTGAGAATAAAAATGAGCATCTTTTAACATTAAAATATATCTGTGCCTCACTAGACAACAGCTTCCCCCGGTTTCTGCAGAGGGTTTTCCCCTGCTAGCACAGAACAGATGTCTGTAAAGCCATCCTAAACTGTCTCCTACCAACTCTGCAGGGCAGGTTCTTGCTTCGCCATCTTCACTCAGCAGTGTAAGCTCTTACACAAGCATTTGTAAGTTCTGTTCAGGTAAGCAGGCACTTGCAAGACATGGATTAAATTTCTAACCCATACAAACAGCATAACGAGGTTAACCAAATGTCTTCGTTCAGGGGTTGCGCAGATTAGTCAGTATTATTTCCTTCTGCACACTCCACAATAAAATTAGATTTCTGCAAAGAATTTAAGTCTTCCTCTAGAATTTTACCTCTCTGAAACAAAAGTGCATCTCTGCAGAGATATTTTCCATATAGTTTGATCATACCAAGAGCATAAATAACAGCAATGGTTTATCAAACAGTCATGAAATTTAGGCTCAGTTAAAAGAGCTGGTGTTAGCATGTGGTGCTTTTAATCTGGGAAGATTGTATTTTTAAAAAATTGCAAACACACAATACTACACCCTTTGCACTGCTTTGGAGCCTTACAGCTGACAGAGTTACTATAGGAACTTGGTGCCTTAGTGCCGAGACACTTGAACACAACCTGATCAAATGCTTGCAGGACTTTGCCTTCACATTGTGTGCAACCATGAGCTGCTAAAGGCATGCACAAAGCTTGGAAAAAAAGATATTATTTTCATAGGATTACACCAGACACGGAGACAGATATGCAAAAACAATGACACCAAAGGAATCAAAATATTCATGGCTCATAAAGCGTGGTAGAGGAGGAATGGCTCCAGCTCATTGCCTGCTTGTGCTTAGATTCTTTATAGGACAATGAATCAACGTTACCGCTTTTAGAAAACCATCCTGATTTCTGTTTATTTGGAGACAAATCCACCTAATCCCACTCATGCAAGCAAGCACAGCAACTTAAAGGGAGCTGCCAGTGGGAGAGGCCAGCAGCATAGAGTCTCTTTTTGTGACCAGTCCCAGGACTCTTCTGGAGTGCAACACCAGCTCCATTATTAATGATACACTAAAAGCTGAGCTAACGTGGCACCTGCTCTGCCCCGGCCGGCTCTGTCAAGCTTTTGCCCAAACTGTGAGCGCAAGGGAATGTCCACAGCTCCCTGCTGCCAGGCCCTGGCATTGAAAATCATGATCCGTGTCACTCTGACTCACAAAACCAGCCTAAGAAATCTGGGAAAAAGGCAGGGTCTTTCCTGTTCCAGGACTCTCTGCAACGGGCAAGGAACAGAGCCTTTTTGCTTCTTTTTATAGACAAATGCTTCTCATTTGTCCATGAGAGCTGAGGACTCAGCTCTTCCCTGGCTTCTGCCTCCAAGGTCTCGGGGCCAGCAGCAGCCAGTGAGGCAGAGGCAGTGCAGGGCCAGCAATGCCCACCAGCACAGCACTCCACGTTTGGGGAACACAGCCCTCCTGCCCCACCTCACTGTGCTGGTCTGAACTCCATCCTTTGCAAGCATTTCACACTCAAAGAGGTCCCCAGCCCTTTCTGCACCAATTCCAAACCCAAGCCTCAACCCCAAACCATACACACACACCCTACCTGCCCCTGTCCTCTCCATGTCCCATCTTGGGGAAGGGGGGGGGGGGTGCAGAGTGGCCAAGGAGGGCCCCTGACCTCAGTGAGCTGCATTACAAGTTCGCTCCTCCATTCCCCACACTGAGTATGAGCCCTAGCTGGATAAGGGGGCCCCAGAGTGGGGACCAGCCGGCTACCCCAGGGAAGCCAAATGATCCAGGCTTTAAATTCTAGTAATATAAAAATGGCTGAGGCAGAGCTGCCAGCCCACGAAAGTGACAGCAGAGGCAGGCCCCAGGGGCCCCGCGGCCAAATCG